AGAGAAAGTCTTGCTATGTTGCCCAGGCTGGTCTTTAACTACTGGTCTTGGGTGATCCTTCTGCCTTAGTGTCCCAAGTAGCTGAAACTACATGCATCAGCTACTGTGCCTGGCTTAAATTTCTTTTTTTCTTTTTTTTTTTTCTTTTTGAGATAGAGTCTTGCTCATTCAGACTAGAATGCAATGGCATGATATTGGCTTACTGCGACCTCCACCTCCCAGATTCAAGCGATTCTCCTGCCTCAACCTCCCAAGTAGCTGGGATTACAGGCACCCACCACCACACCTGGCTAATTTTTGCACTTTTAATAGAGTCAGGGTTTCACCATGTTGGCCAGGCTGGTCTCGAACTCCTGACCTCAGGTGATCTGTCTGCCTTGGCCTCCCAGAGTGTTGGGATGACAGGCGTGAGCTACTGCACCCAGCCTTAAATTTGAATCTCGGATAAGTCATCAATAATTTTTAGGACAGGTGTATCCACATCTTTCATTATTTGGTTTTTAGTATAAGTATATCCCACACACCATTTGGGAGATAGTTGTACTAACGATTTGCTTTTGAGTATATAAAACTTAGTATAGAAATAACATTTTAGTATATAAATAACATTATTTGTTATTTATCTAAGATTCGGATTGAATAGGCACCCTGGGTTTTGTTGTGGTTTTGGGGGTGCCCCCCCCCCGCCCCAGAAGACACACCACAGGAGGCAAACTTCAGGGACAGCACACAGCTCTCGTGGAGGTGCAGCTGGTATTTCTCCGGCTTGCGGACGTGCAGGATCTCCACATTGCTACTCTCCATTCCGACCGCCAGCCAGTCCTGGTTAGGGCAGTGGCCCAGGGAGAAAATCTAGGGGTAAAGAGGGAAGAGAAGGGGTCACGAGCCCCCCTTTGTTTTGTGTCTCCTGGGTTCACTCCATCGCCCAGGCTGCAATCACGGCTCACTGCAGCCTCGACCTCCAGGGTTCAAGTGATCCTCCTGCCTCAGTCTCCCGAGTAGCTGGGATTACAGGCATGCACCATCACGCTGGATAAATTTTTTTTTTTTCAAATGGAGTCTCACTGTGTCATTCAGGCTGCAGTGCGATGTTGCAATCTCAGCTCACTGCAGCCTCTGCCTCCCAAGTTCAAGGGATTCTCCTGCCTCAGCCTCCCAAGTAGCTGGGATTACAGGTGCCTGCTGGCACGCCCAGGTAATTTTTGTATTTTTAGTAAAGACGGAGTTTCACTGTGTTGGCCAGGCTGGTCTCAAACTGCTAACCTCAAGTGATCTGCCCGCCTTGGCTTCCCAAAGTGCTGGGATTACAGGTGTAAGCCATTATGTCCAGCTTGATATTGGGGGGTGCACAGCACCATCAGGGTTGGGGGGTGGAGTCCAACGTTCTCCCTCTTCAGCCCTCCCAGAGAAAGGCAGCTGGCCCAGGACTGGGAACACAGCAGACAACTGCATGTCGAATCATTAATATTAATCAGAATTACACAGAACCCTGGGGCTGCACATCCATTATCTGCTCTGAGCGCACAACAGCACAGGGAGGAGGCAGAGAGGAGGGAGAAGAGACAGAGAAGGGAACAGCCAGGCAAGGACAATCACTCCCCTTAAGCAGATGGTGGAAGCTGAGGCAGTGTCCCCTCAAGGTCACACAGCAAGGCTATGAAAGACCAGGCCTTCGCCGGGCTCTGTGGCTCATGCCAGTAATCCCAACGCTTTAGGAGGCCAAGGCAGGTGGATCATCTGAGGTCAGGAGTTCGTGACCAGCCTGGCCAACAGGGCAAAACCCCATCTCTACTAGAAATGCAAAAATCAGCTGGGTGTGATGGCGGGCACCTGTAATCCCAGCTACTTGGGAGGCTAAGGCAGGAGAATTGCTTGAACCTGGGAGGTGGAGGTTGCAGTGAGCTGAGATTGCACCACTGCACTCTAGCCTGGGTGACAGAGCAAGACTCTGTCT